TGTTTAATTTATTGACATAAACATTTTATTTTTATAAACATCGCTTCCTTTATCCAACGGCTTATTGTATTCTTTAGGCTTATTTGTTAACTCAATAAGTCTTTTATCCATCATTTCTAACTTATCTAATATCTTTTGAAATCGTGTTGTTTTTGCTTCAGTTTTAACATCATCATCTAAGTCACGGCTTCGCCTTGAGGATGTTGCCACATCGTCACTCATATAATATAAAAGTTTTAGATTATTTTTTAAAAAGCTTTTATAAAAAGTTTGCGCCTTACATTCTGTTTATCTAAGCATCTCCTACATATAATGTTATAATCTTTATGTTCTGCAAACTTATGAAGTTTTCTATTTCCTTAGATATTTTACAATTTGTGCAAAATCTTGTTTCTTGAAAATAATAATATTTACATCTATCTTTGTCAGATAAAGANNAGAAACTTCAATTTTATCAGTATATACAGTCATATAATTCGCTTTATAATAAAAATTATCAAGCCAATTGCTTAAGATTTAACAAACTACTTAAGCACAAGCTTATGTAGTGCTATTGAATGTTCAAGCATTACTTCAAACTTCCACCATCAAACTAACAACATTGCCTGTCTTCCTTATTCTTTAAATTTGTCCCTGTGTCTTCTGGTCTCTGACTTGATACAAAAGGTGAGCCATAACTACGACTTCTAAAAATATTTCCATAATTATCATTTATTGCTCAACTATATCAGTAATACCTGCAAGTTTGTTACCATCAACTTCTATAGTTCCATCTTTATCAGCATCCCGAAACAAGAAGAAAATAAAAAATTTTCTACACGAGGCGAGTATCTCCATTCTTTTCAATACAGCAGGTTTTTTTTTGAGAATCTTTTGTTTCACACAGTTAAACTCTAACGGTGTTAATTCTGACGTAATTGATACTGACCGGATACAATTGTGGTTAAATGATTATTTTGATAGTAGAAACCCTGATGTTGTCAGACAAAATGATTTTGATCATGTGGATTATCGCGGTGAAATTCCATATGAGTTTTTTTTAGTTTTAAGGTGAGAATAAAACACATAATTTTAACAATGTTCATTCTCTGTTGCCTTTAGAAGTTGAACCAATCAGCAACAACAAGGTAAATCAACTAAAACAACAATAATAAATACAAAATGTGGTAATAACGTAAATTCATTTTGATTGCATCTGCAAAAACATTGAATGTAAGAGTAGCACAAGCAACTCTGTAGTTGTTTTATTCGTTTTAGTACGAAATGAAACTGCCAAAGCATCAGTTTGACTCCGTGGTGCATCTCGCAATTTTCGTCTTTAGATCGCTTAGCAGTGCTAGCTCACTCAGAGCAGCCGAGTGGATTCACGCCGCGATGCGCTGTGGCAACGTGCGCTTTGACGGATCCAGCCGAAGCTAGCTCTAATTCTGCGTACCAAGTGGTTACTGAGCTTGATCAGAGATGTTTAGATTGGAATGCAACGGCAACCGACCGTTCCGCTACTGCAGACCCGTCTCCGCATCTTGGGTGTCTGCTCCACCTCTCCATCTGTCAGATCAGAGCCAGTGGACAGTCCACAACCAGGGGCGTTTTTGGCTTCTAGTCTCTCCTTGTTTGCTATCGTGCCAGTCACAATTCAAACGACGAGAGCCGTTCGGTCGTAGCTCAGATTCTTCCTGTTTTGCTTCTTCCTTTTGTTTCCAGCCGCAGGTACCACTACTCCGCTCCGTGCGAGTGAACGATCGCCGCTATGCCGTCCGAGGACCGATCTTTGCACCTTGTTTGTTGGTTCTTTGCGCTGCCGTCTTGGTTGCTTCAGTTTTGACCGGTCTCCGCAGCTGCTCTCTCAAGCATTCTTTGCGATCCTTCAGCTCTTTCCGTCTCCAGCTGTGGCGACACCGTGTCTGAGGTCTGCTTGACCGCCTGTCTCCGACGTACTCGCAAAGCTGCTTTTCTTCTCAGACGAGACTCTCTGGCCGGCTCTCCGTGATCTGATTCCGGAGGATTTGATGAGGTTCCATGATTTCATCGGCTCCGCTTTTGCCTTGCGGTTCCAGAACCCTCCGTCCGACGTCGACATGGAGCAGCCGGCCCCGGCCACGGTCCCGAACACCAACATGACTGGTCCGCCCGCGCTGGCAGTGGCAACTCTGACCTTCTCGACCTCGGTGACGATGGTCCACCCGTCCCGACGACGGTACCAGAGATTCTCCCGCCCGAGGTCACGCGCGGTTCTGGCTATACCTATACTGAAGGCGGGCCGTTGTCAAACCTGGGCAACCAAGAGCACTGGAACCCAACATGGCTACGCCAGCTTGACCCGTCCGACCTAGTCCCGGACACCTATGAGTGGATGGATGTCGCTTCGTCTCTCCCGCGTGCTATGGCTGACAATGGTCCGTGGTCCAACCGTGAAGAGTGGAAGATCCGTGTTTGCCGCATTTTCCGCTCTCTCCGCAAACAATTCGCCGCCCGGGCTACTGGCCGTATGCGGACTTGTTCTGCGTCCGCCCGGCCGACCACTCGAGTTGGCTTGAGCGACAGATTCCGCCCCAGCCCGTTGCACATCTTCCGGTGCGGGGATACTGCTCGCATGTATGCGACCGGAATGCCTCCAACACCCACGGCTTCCGTTGCGTGGGGCTATGCCTCCGCCCGGTCATGTTCGGCGAAAGGGCCCCGCATGAGCAGCACACCTGCATTAACTGCCTTAAGGGCCACTGAGCTCCGCCCGACCGCATCTTCCGCTTGAAAATGTGTCGTGCGAGCTCGGTTCCTTTTGCATTTGATGTTGCTGTGCTTGAACTTATCTTATCTGTGCCTGCTGTCAGGACTGCCGCCGACCGCCTTCGCCGTCCAGGTTGGGATCGCCGTCTCTGAGGCCTAGTGATGCTGCCGTGAAGCTGCGCGAAGTTTTGCAGGCAGGTTTCTTTGCCGTCAGTTCCGATGTCCGTTTGCAGTCATCCGTCCGTGCCCCGCGTCCGGATGGTTGTGTGCACTCACCATTGCAATGCGGCCGTGACTCTGCATCCTGGCTTGACGATGCGTTGCGTTCGCCTTCTCCTTCTCCGCCTCTGGTTGACACTCCGCCTTCTCAACCTGGCTCTTCTTCTGTGAGCGGCTTCGAGGTTGTTTCTTCGACCGCCCCTTTATATCCTTTGCGTGCCCGACCGGCTCCGGCGGCTGCTGTGCCTCGCACACTTGTGCCTCGAGCCGCCAGTCCACCTGTGTTTGCGGCTCCCACTCCGGGTCCTGCTGCTTGCCCTCGGCGGTGGGCCGATGGTCGGCCCAACTCTGCTTATCGCCCGTGTGGCTTCGAGGAGGCCCGCCCATGCACATCGTTGTCTCCCGTGTCCTTGCACACCCCTGTCTCCTCCTCGACCTTCTCATTCTCACCGCCGTCTGTTTCCTCGGCACTTCCAGATCCGTCTCTCCCTCGGGGTACCATGCCGGCGCATTTGTTGCCACCCGTGTCGCGCCTGCCTTCGGCTTCGGCGTCTTACCAGTACCCTGGGCCTCGGCTGCAACCCGTTTCCCCTGCTTCTATGCATTTCCCTGCCGTTTCCACTCCTGCTCCCAAAGCCGGCGCTGCTATGTCCACCGCGGGCCGTGTCCAGCTGGCCATGCATGCACTGTCCGCGCGCTGGTTTGCCATTCTGTGTGCGCTGGCTTCTGCATCCGCACTTTTTGTTGACTGCCAGGCCTCCTCTAACCCGGAGGCTCACATGTCCCGTGCGATCGCCAAGTTCGCGCCCTCCACCTTGGAGCGCTACTTTGACCAATGGTCTTCCTGGTCCCGTCACTGTGAACTTGCGGGGTTTCACCCGGCTTCCCTGCCTCCTGGGTTTCTTCCCGACTGGATTGCGTCTCGTGCTAGCGCCCAGGGCCTGGCAACCGCCCCCCTGAAGGCCTTGGCTTGGATGTGCAAAACGGCCGGCCTGCCTTTTCTGCGTGACTCTCTGTCATCTCCATTGTGCCGGGCCTTCGCCGTTGCCTCCGCCCCGCCCGAGCACCGCGAGAGCTTGCCGCTCAGCTTGTCCTTTGTGGTGTGGCTGGAGCAGTCCGTGCTTGATCCGAACACGCCGGCTCAAGTTCTCCGTCTCGGGTTTGTGATTGTGCTTGTCTGCGTTTGGGCTTCCCTTCGCTGGGGGGACTCTATTTGGGTCCCCCCCGCCCGACTGGACTGCAATATCAAATGTCCGTGCAGGCCCTTGTCGGTGTTTCCGTCCGTACGAAAACGACAAAACGAGGTATGCCGTGGGGGCTTCTGGTGCACGGCTTCCTGGGATCCTCTGCTTCTTCATGGGCACTCCGTTTCCTATCGTGCCTACGCCAGTCGGTGTCCGACACACTGGCTCTTCACCCTACGCGCACTTTGGATTTTTTGCCGGCCGTCCTGTCCGGCAGCGAGAGCCGTCCACTCATTTCCGAGCCTTGGGACCGCGACAGTTTCGTTCCCTGGCTTCGGGACTTGCTCAGTCAGCACTGGTCTTTGCATTCCCGTGAGCCTCTCCCGTCCGTGTTCTCTTTGGTGGCTGCGCAGTCCCTTAAGGCAACTATGCTGAGTTGGGCCCGCCAGCTCTCCATTGAGTCCGATGCCCGTCGCATTCAGGGGCATCATCGACTTTCTGGGGCCGACCGTTCCGTGGCCCTGTACTCTCGTGATGATCTCATCCCCATGGTCCGTTTACAAGCTCGTGTGGTCGCGGCCTTCCGCAACGGCTTCCGTCCTTTGCAACCCGTTGGCCGTGGTCTTGAGGCCCCCGTTGCAGATTTCCCTGTGGTTCTTCCTTCTGGAACGCTGCCGTCTTTGGATTCGGCTGCTTTGCCGCCTGACTGCCTCCCCGACGCCCCCGTCTCGCCACCCGCTGCAAGCCCTCCCGTGCCAGCAGATCCTCCTCCTCCCCTCCCGACAATTCCGGTTCTCCCGGTTCCCTCGGCCGAGGATGATCTTGTGTCACTGTCTTCGGAGGAGTCTGAAGCTCCGCCCGCAGATCAGGACGAGGCTGAGGATTGGGAGGCCGACTTGGTCGAAAAAGCGGCCATCAAGGCTGCATCCTCCGACCCCTGGCTTATGCATAATCCGCGCAGCAACGTTGTGCACTTTGCTCAGACTTGTGCCCCGGATGCTCTTCGTTCGCCAGATGGTCTCCGGACCCTGCTGTCTGGTCCGCCCGCTGGTTCGGTTTTGTGCCTGCGCGGCGCCTGCTTTTCCCGTTTGTCGCAGCTAGACTGATTCAGCGTCGCGAGTCAGTGAAAAGAAGCCAGCGAGCTGTTTCCGCCGTCCGTTTCTTGTTCGTCATGCTTGTCATGCTTTCTGTCATGAGCGCATGTGTGTCCGCAGCCGTTTTTCGGGATTTTGTGCTACATTTGCTTGCCCCCGTCTCTCATCGTGATGGCGTTTGAGGGCAATGCATCGGGCTCCGGTGGCTTCGACCCACCCGGCCGCTATTTTAAGCGCGCCGCAGCCGTGTCCGAACCAGGCCCGGAGCCGACCCCGTCGCTCCTGCGGAATCGGACGACCCATCGCCCACTTACGCTTCTTCCGTGCAGAGTCACTCGACCGGTCCGGGCTCCTGGGCCACCGTGGGGGATGTCAGCGCAGGATCTGAGCTGGTGGACCAACTATCCCGTCTCGAAAACACATTCGGCCAAGTGCGGCCATCGATTGGGTAACCGGAGATGCAGCCCCAGCGAACAAATCCAGGAAAAGCCGGGCTGGGGGAACACGCAAGGGCTGTGTGCACGACTCAGAGGGAGCAGAGGGCGGAGCAGGTTTGGGAGGAGCACCGGGCACAGCACGCGTGGAAGTCAATGCGGGGCGGCCGCATGCTCGAGGGCCGTGTGGGGCTGACCGCACGGCTTGCCGGACGGAAGCATGACCGGACACACATGTGCATACTTGCAGTTGGGGTTCGTGCACTTGCCAATAGCGTGTTTCATGCACACGTCAGCGCCGTCCACGACGCGCGCCCACGATGGGTCGAAGCCGGGGATCGGACCGGGTTTGGAAGGAGCAGCCTTGCCTTTGGCTTTGGCCTTGCCTTTAGGTGCAGCCTTGGGGATGGCCGCATCGGCACCGGAGGGAGGCACAGGGTGCTGCCCGTCCGGGTTGGTGCGCTTGCGCAGGTTAGGCTTGCCGGGAGAAGCGGGGCCGGACGGCAGCTGAGGCGCACGGGCCGGCTTCGGACGGGGTTGCAGCAGTGGGGCCATGTCGTGGCGGCAAAAACCAACTTCATTCAGGCTGTCGGTAAGAGACCAGGCCTGGTCACGGACAAGAGCGGAGACCGTCATCCAGACCGCGCGGTCAGCGTGGACCACCTCCTGCAGAACAGGGGCACGGAGGGTAGTGTCCGACGGCGGAGTGGTGGCCATTGTGAAGAACTTATCGTTGAACCTTTTAATAGTGGCTACGGCTAGGTGAACCAGGTCCAACAAGGCCAAAGCTGCGGCGAAAAGGTCCAGACAGCGCCGGAGAACGGACTCGGAGGGGCCGTTGAGGCTAAAACCAAAGGTCGGCCCAGCAGCTTCATCCGGCAAGTCCAGAAGGGAACGAAGCATTTGGCGATCGGATCTGGGGCGGCGGGATTCCTCCCAATGCAGAAAATCGGCTTCAGAGGTGCGTTGACGCCAGGGAATCCAAACGGACTGGCCGGACTCATGGCGCTGACGGATCAACGACAAAAACTCAACGGACGGAGTATTAGCGGGTGTCAGCAGCTCGCCCGGATACTTCTTGAGGTAGTCCTTGCGAAGGGAAAGGAACTCGGCCGCCGTAATTTTATTCGAAGTCGAGGCAGATGGGGCAGCAGGCGGCAGTTGCGACGGTGCATTGGCCGACGCAGCCCGGGGAGGTGCAATAGAGTCAGGGATGGTGCGACGGAGGCAGGACACATCCGGACGGAAGGTGGCCGTCGCATCGCCATCAGGTATCTTGAGAATGACCCGGATGAACTTCATGACCTCATCAGGATCGGACGGGTCAGTAAGGGCAAAGGCCAACGAGCCCAATGTGTGAAATCCAGCACTTTTGACGGCAGCCGCCAAAGTATCCGGGGCAGAGATTGAAGACAAAAAGTCAGCGAGGGCAGAAGGGTCGTCCAAACGCGACGCTGGGGGCATGATGCCAAAGTCCAAAGCAGCACAGTCTACCTGAACAGTGAGCAAAATGGCTGCGGGCAGGACGAAGCGCACATGAAGAAGTGAGACATGCAACGGTGAAGCAAGTCACGCGCTCACTTCTTTTCACAGCGGACGGAGCACACGTACCTCAGGTCAGCCTCGGAGGCGATGACAGACACGGCAGAAGTGGTTGCGGTGCCCGCGCCCGTACACTGGACGGCCGCGTTGGTTGAAACAACCTGGCGTCGGACACTGTACAAGGCATGGGGGCAGGTAAACCACAGTTGGGCAGGCAAGCGAATTTTTCGCCTGCGCCTTTGGCGCCACAACATCCGGCGTGACTGCCAGGAAGAACCCTAGCTCGTCCAGCGGAGTGGGCGGAGCATGCGCCTTTGGCTCGGCCGGAGCCGGGCTCGCCGGCGGAAAAGATGACTTTGGCTTGGCCGGAGCCGGGCTCGCCGGCGGGAAAGATGACGCCGAAGCTTTAGGCCCAGAAGGCGTGCCCATCCGTGCACACATGAACAACGCGGTCGCGAGTGTCAGGACGAACCGGTGGATCTTGTGTGCGTCTGGCCTGGGGCGCTGCGGCGGCGGCCCCGCCCTGCTCGGCTTTTTCCCGTGCACCCCTCCGTCCCGGGGGCCCTCCCCCCG